GGTTAGTGGTGTTTATATTTTGTTTTTATGTTTTATTTTAATTAAATAAATAATAAAATAAATAAAAAGAAAAAGATAATAAATAGAAAAGACAAAATTATCATTTTATATATATATATATATATATATATATATATATATATATATATATATAAGGATAAAAAAAACACAACAAAAAACTTATATTAGATATGGTGCAATTACAAAATAATTTGGAATAAATCCCTATTTTTAACGAACCACATAACAAAATTTGTAATTGACTTAAATAAATATTATTCATGACCACATGGTTACAAAAAATAAACAACATCTTCTAACCACCGACATCACATTAACCCAGAAAATACATGATCTTATATATGATTAATGCATACTATGTTAATTTAATAAATAACCTACGACCATTTAATCATTTTAAATCTAACTTCCAAAGGCGGCACAAACAAAAAAAACATCTATTAATTTATAATCACCAAAGTTTTTCTTCTCTACACATATAAACAGTAATCTTCAAAATAAAAATTATAAGAAAAAAGATTTATATTCTGTATTCTATAAAAAAAGGAAAAAAAGTGTAATTCACATTTACTTTTACAGCTTTTGCTGTTGATTTTGGTATTGTTTGACCAAAAGTTGAGCATAAAGGATTTCATTCCAAGCATCAGGAACACCAGGTAAACACCAATGACTGCAATCTTGATAATGCAGCGGCGACTTAATCTCCTCCGCCGTGTAATGTTTTTTCCGGTAAACCGACGGGTGCCCATCTTTCCGGAAATCCGTTAATCGTGTGATGTTCAGATACGACACTCTGTTTTTCATCCCTTTAAAAACCTTCTCCAGGACTATCATCTTGTCGGGATACGGCGTTAGGTAAGTGGTGTTCTTGATCGGCTCCGACTCATGGTCGCAAGCTCCGCCGGAATTCCACTGCCCTCCGCTGTCCAAACAGAAAATGATAGAAAAAACTTGAATATCTAAGTTTACAGAGATATAAATAAGGATAAAACTTAAAACTTAAAACTCATGATTATACTTACCTAAAATGGGAAGCAGAATAACCTCTGAAGAAAACCGAAGTTTTTTTAGGGTTCATATTAGCATCGACCCAATTTCCCCATGTTGTCATCGCTTTACGAAACGCCTCTAGAACGTTAAGTTCCTTATAGACATGGCTACCTTCTTGATAATAATCTTCCCTGAAAATTTCATAACGCTTATTAACACCATAAAAATTGACGGTTTTGACGGTATTTAACGTCAGCTTTTTGATAGAAGTATATCGAGATTAATCACCCTTTGGAAGTCTTGTCGTGAGTCCACCAGTGGCCGGTGTTGAAGACAACCACGTCGGCGGTTTTGTACTGATCGGCGGAGCTACTGATCAAATCGAGCCGGAGGGTCTCTTTTTGTGTTCCATTTTTGTCTTTGATTTCCCATTCTTGAACCAAGAATGGTGCCACAAAGAACTCCACTGTGCAATCATAATCCTATAAATTCATGATATAAAAAGATTAAGATTGTTTTCGAGCAATGATCTCAGAAACTTTATCGAAGGAAAGAGACTGGAATACCTTGAACACGAAAGAATAAGAAGCTTCTGATCTGAAATGATGTCTTCCTGAAGCTTCATAAACCTTGGTTTGATCTTTAAGGGAGTTTCGAAGGATGCAAACTAATGACTCCCACATATTTCTGTTTAGAGAATCCCCTACAAAAACCAATCTCTTTCCTTTCAATAATTTCAACATTTTGCTTCCATCCAACCTATATATGCATGAACAAGTTCATTGTGATAAATCATAATAAACGTAAATTGAAAAAAATTGAAGATTGGAGTATGAAAATTTTGACATACCTCGGTAAACTACAACCTTTGGGCTTCCATTTGTAGTTTTGAAACCCTAAATCAGGCCTACCATTGGAGAAACAATTGAATTGTTCATCAATCAACGAACAAGAACCGGGTTTATACAATGGATATGAGTCGTCTCTTACCCAATCTCCATCAAACAGATTACAGTTGACTAAATTCTTCACCAAATCATCAATCCCTTGTTTCTTTCCTAAAGAAGTAACATTTTTGGTGGTGATTTTATCTTCAATTCTTTGACCAGGACCACTTCCAGCACCATTTCCCCAAGATGTCGGCAATGATTTCTCTGAGTTTGGACTTGTTTTCATCCTATTTTCAGTAGCATTATTCGGTATTGAATTCTGCGATTCTGAAGCTGAATTCGATACTGTTTTAGTCGTCTGGTTCGTTACTGGTTGAGATGGTAAATTCACAATCGTGGTCTTGTTTGATCCGTGTTGAGGGGATGATTTAGATCCAGTTGCGATCTGGTCCGAATATGGTTGTGGTGGTGGAGACCCGATTGTGGTCTGATTCGACACTGGTTGAGATAATGGAGACCCGATCATGGTCTGGTTCGAGTCATTACTTTTAGTTTGATTTTGAACAATTGGAGGATCTTTAATCACATTGGGCGTTTCGAGATTCATAGTTGGAGATCTGGAATCAGTGGCATTTGAACTGGGTAAAGAAACTGTAGAATTTTGTAATGCTTCCGAAGAATTTGAAGGAAAAAAGTAAGAATAAATGGAAGAGAATTGAGATCTAGCAGACCCATAAGCACCAGAAGAAGATGATGAAGAAGTTGTTGTAGTACCATTTGCTTTAATACTTGTACTGATGCTTGTACTAGTGAAGATACTGGAAAACCATGGAGAAGAAGGATCTGGTGAAGGATTAAAGGCCAAGAAAAAAGTAACAGCAACGAAGATAGCGATGAATACGTAAGCAAAAGCTCTTGTTTTCTTGGTTCGAAATGAAAAGACGTTCTTCAACTTCAAATCTGAAACCAGAGTTCTTTCATTGATGGGTATGTATTTAGTTGAATCCGCCATGAAAACGAAGAATGTTACGACACCCAGATGCAGAAGACGGTGATTTTCACTTTGTGAAGTGTGTGAGAGAGGATGAGATAGAGATACAGAGAGGATCCAGTACCTTTTGGACTCTTTTTTCCAGAGAGAGAAGAGTGGAAGAAGATGGAGAAGACGTTTATTTCTTTTAGGAAAGTGAGGAGCTTTTTATTTTTTAAATAGGAGTAGTATCTATTTACTCGTTTTCGAAACTAAATACGATTCAAAAAAATAAAATAAAAAATACGACATGATTTAAAATAATATATTGTTTTGTATGTTCGTTAAAAGTGTTCTTAATATAACGAGTGAATGGAGTCACACTCTGACATAGAAATAGCATGTAAAATAAAAAAGTAACAACACTAAAATAGAAATTCACACCATAAATGTTTAAAATGTAACATGTTACATTAATTATGACTTACAATTTCATATATTTAAAATTTGTTTTATGAAATAGCTATCTAGAAAAAACATTTGTATTAGAAACGATCAAAAAAGATGAATTAGTGGCCAAAATTGGTGCTACCGATACTTTTACATTCTTCTCGGTTTGAGGGGGTTTATGAAATAGGTGATGGGAATAGAATGATTTACGGAAATGCCACTGTCGTCGAGAGTATAGTCGGTGTCACGTGAGAGATTAATTTAAAGTGGGGGGTTTACTGTTTACAGGTCAATTTAATTTTCAAAGGACCATACCATGTGGCATGTGCCGCGAAGCAAATATGTAGCTTGTACTTTCAGTTTAAATAATTGGACCTTTCCAGTAACCTATCTTTTCTTTAATTAAAAATTCAGTTCTATTTTGTTGTTTTCTGGATTTGTAAAATTATAAATATTGTCATCTGATGACTAATTATAATTTGTAAGACACAGATCTTAAAATATTATATTCATTTGGTGATCACTTTTTGATAAAAAAATAAAAAAATAATAAAGCTACAGACCATTTCTCTCATTGAAATAAACATGATTACTAAATAGATAACTTATTTTATTTAGTTTTGACGTTAAAAATATAAGAATTTTTTATGCAATTTCCATGTTAAAATTGAAATACTTGATATAATCCAAGTTAGATCAATCATCTAACTTTAGAAAATTAGTTATATGTTAAATCAGTTCCATAACTTTACAAGTTGCAAACCTAGGGGGTCGTTTGAGCCATTCTGTAAAAGTCGAAGGGACGGAGTCGATGAAGTGAGTCAAACTACGAGTGGGTTCCGAGTGGTTTAAAGTCAATGTTCCGTACATACCATCCTTTAATGCTTATTATTTAAGCGATATTTAGTCCGGTGAAAAAATTGGTAGTAATATGAACTTGAAAAAAAATTGGATTCCAGTTCTGGATAGATTCCAATCCAAATTGCCAAAAACCTTATGTTTTGGCGGCAGATTGACACTCATAAAGTCAGTTTTAGGAAACCTTCCATCATATTACCTTTCATTATTCGTGGCACCTGAAGGCATTATTGACACATTGGAAAAGATGAGGAATCGGTTTCTTTGGGGAGGATAAGATGAAAAGAAAGCGATCCACTGGATCTCGTGGGATAAGGTAACAGCATCAAAGGAATCTGGGTGGTTTAGGTGTTGGTACAATAAAAGCACTAAACATCTCTCTAATAACAAAGTGGTGGTGGAGGTTGAGAACCAAGCCGGATCAGTTATGGGCTGTTGTGATAACGAGTGTGCACAATCTAAGGTCGAAACCCGATGAATGTTACTCTGCAAAGACGCTACCTGGGGTATGGAATAACATCGTTGGAATTGAAAATGATCTAAGGAAAAAGGATATCCAAGTTAAGACAGTGTTAGACAAACGAATAGTAAACAACGGAGTCATATGGAGATGTGGGCTAACCCCGGATGGATCTTTCAGAGTGAATGCTCTCAGATCAAGATGGGATTACCGGACTCCATTGACCAATATATATTTCCATTGGATAAAAGAAATCCCACTGAAAGTCTCTTGCTTCATTTGGAGAGCACACTTGGGCAGAATCCCAACAGCTAAGGAGTTAGTAAAAAGAGGGGTAAACATGGAAAATTTAACATGCCAGATGTGCAATGAAACGGAAGAAAGTGCTGATCATATTCTTGTAGATTGTGCGTATGCAAAGAAGGTCATGGAAGGAATAATGAGATGGTGCAAGGTGCATATTCACATGGAAGATCTCCAAGCGGTGTCGGATGTCCTGAACTTTGCCAATCAATGGGGAACGTGTACTAAAAAGCGGAAGATATTCATGGCAATTTGCTACTCTACACTACGGAGAATCTGGATAGCAAGGAATGAAACGGTTTTCAAAAAGAACCGGTTACCACCTGAAAAAGTCATTGAGTATGTCAACTCTGTGACTTTTCTTTGGGTGAAGAATAGGGGAATCAAGATGGAATTGATCCGGGCAAATTGGTCTCAATGCCCTTTTTTCTTTTAGTTGTATGTCTTTTCTAGTTTTCTGCTCTGATATTTTGCATTCCCACTGATTTGTGGCTGTAACTCTGTTTCTCCTGTCTTCTCTTTTATATAATCTATTTGTCGGTTCCAAAAAAAAAAGATGTACCTTATTATCTGGTTTCTCCTGTCTTCTCTTTTATATAATCTATTTGTCGGTTCCAAAAAAAAAAGATGTACCTTTATTATTATTTTTTTTAACGACAAATATAATCATTCCACTTATGTATAGGACGACGACTTCAACCTTTATTCTTAAAAAAAAATTACAACAACATCTATACGTTGGACTAGAAACCCTTTAATATTAGATACTAGATTTATCTTCTATTATTAATTATATCTCCTATTATAAGTTAAGGGAAATTAAATAATCTAATCATTATATATGGTATTTAAAAAAAACATTTTTTTAATTTTTGAAAAACAATCATTTTTTTTCTATAATGCCTTTATTCGGAAGTATTGTTTATATTTTGGAGTTTTTTTTTTCAAATTATTTTTCATTTTATTTTGGATTCAGAATACTACATTTCAAAGTGTTTAATATTATTATTTTTTAATAAAATGTTTATTTTTATGCACTAATATCGTACATAGTTCACATTAACATTTTGTTTAACTTTTTGTTAGATATAAATAAAAACAATTTTTTTTTCGAAATTCCAGAATTGTTCATCGAATTTCGGACTTATTCTTGAAATTTCGGAGTTTTTTTTTTGACATCCGAAATTTCAGTCCGGAATCCGAAATGTGGACCCAAAATCAATCCAAAATATACGTTTTCACAGAAAAAATGTTTTTTTTCTCGGTCATTTCGGACCAAGTGGTTATTTTTACTAAACATAATGTTATTTGGTTATTTTTTAAAATACATATTAAAATGTGGTTACATTACTTAGTTTCCTATAAACTAAAACCCCTAATTAATCTTTAATTATTTTTAATATCAATCATATAAAAAATGTTTATATTTTGTTTTTATTTTTTGTTTGGTTATTACCGTTTCTTTTTAACTTATTTGTAACATCCCAAAAATACAACCCAAAAATTTTTGTTTGAAAACTTTACTAAACCATAATATCAAATATTAAAAGATAAATTCATGGATCATGCGTCTCAAAATGTCATAATAAATTTATCAAATCGGAACTGTGTCAAGATCATATCAAAATATCAGAGTCTAACTCCCAGGCTAAAACTGTGGTGTGTGCCATGCCATCATCCCGAGCCCTTCCCTTTTGCTAGCTGAAGTACCTGAAACCAAAACTGAAACTGTAAGCACGAAGCTTAGTGAGCTCCCCCAAACTACACATATCATACAATAACATATAAAGCAACTACTGGGTCTTGCCCACTGCATCGGACCGAAGTCCGGAAACTGCATCGGACCGAAGTCCGGGACTAACCAGGGCCTTGCCCTTTGCATCGGACCGAAGTCCGGAAACTGCATCGGACCGAAGTCCGGAACTAACCAGGGCCTTGCCCTCTGCATCGGACCGAAGTCCGGAACTGACTGAACATAGCATAGCATAATCATAACTACTAACATAAACACATATACTGCATACTGCATCAGACCGAAGTCCGGAACACATAACACAAAGACATGCTTAAATAACAAAGACATCAAGCACACTGAACTACTGCATCAGACCGAAGTCCGGAACTACTGCTAACTAAACGGGCCGACATTGTGGTCGTAGACCCGTTCCTACTGGAAGGAAACTCACCTCGAAATGCTGGCTGCTGAGATGCTAAATCTGAAACTGTCTGACTGCTGCTCCGGAACTCCCCGGCTACAAATCCCATAAACACTAAATCAAATACTGATAACTACTCTCAGGGTAAAATGACCATTTACCCTTCTGACCAGAGTCAACGCTAAGGTCAAAGTCAACTCTCAGTCAACCCAACTCGCCGAGTCCCTCAACCGACTCGTCGAGTTCAAACGGTCATAACATCGGGACGTCTCGATTCTACTCGTCGAGTCCCACCTTGGACTCGTCGAGCTCCTTTGTTTCCGAGTCTCACTCCTGTCCAACTCACTGAGTCATCTCCTTAACTCAGTGGTATCACTCCTAATCAAAGAAGGGTTTGGGGACATCGATCCGACTCGTCGAGTCCCAAGAACAACTCGGCGAGTCTATTGCATGTTTAGACTATACAGTTGTTCCTAGGTGATTCCACTGCCTCCAATTCATAGATCTGGACTCCTTAGGCTAGAATAACACGTAAAGTTGCTAACTTTACGTGCATGCATGATGCAATGAAGCTAAATCACCCAAAACAAGCTAGAAATAGAGAGTCTAGGGCATTTAAAATGGGATCTTGGCTGAATAATAAGGTGGTAACTTTGAGCTTCTGAAGCTCAAGAGTGCCTAGATCTAAAATCCTTATAGACCCAAAAGCTCTCTACCCGAAATTATCTTGGAAAGGACCCCAAAAGTGGCAACAACAAGCTTTCAAGAAGATCTAAGTGAAAATAAGTCAAGGTACAAACTTTATACCTTCAAGAGCTCTGAAATGCAACTAAAACTCTGGATCTTCTGCCTCTTCTTGAATCACCAATGGATCTCTCTTCTCCTAACTTCAAATCACACAAAAATGGCAAGAAGCTTTAAGACACTCAATGGTTGCTAGGGTTTCGAGAAATGGACTGTGCGAGGTGATTGGAGGCTGGGGTGAGTACTAGATGCTACTATAAATGGGTGCAAACCCTAGGGGGTTGAGCAGTTAAATAGGGTCCCAATGGAGTGGTAGCGACCTCCTGATGGACCTATCGCCGAGTCCATTTCCGACTCGTCGAGTAGTCCACTTAAACCCGCGGTCCAGCTCGCACCTACTCGACGAGTTAGGGCTACCAACTCGTCGAGTAGCTCTTATAAAATGAACATAGAGAATTACTTTCGTACCAGGAATGGGGCGTTACAATTCTCCCCACTTGTCTTAGACTTCGTCCTCAAAGTCTGCTGAATCTGAAAAACAACTCTAGTGCTCCCTCATCTCTTCCTCGGGCTCCCACGTCCACTCCGAACCCTTGCGGTGCTGCCACTGCACCTTAACTAACTCTACTGACTTGTTCCTCAGTTTTTTCACCTTGCGATCTAGAATCGCCACTGGTCTCTCGATATAGTTCAGGCTATCGTCAACTGAATGTCCTCCAGGGGTACCACTGCTGAATCATCCACTAAGCACTTCCGTAACTGAGAAACATGGAACGTGTGTGGATCTGGCTGAGCTCTGCTGGAAGATCTAACCGATAGCTAAACGACCCACCCGGGCCAAAACCCTAAAGGACCAATGAATATGGGGCCCAGCTTGCCCTCTTTCGAAATCTGATAACACCCTTCCAGGGTGACACTTTCAGGAGGACCATATCACCCACCTGAAACTCCAAGTCCGAACGCCTCCTGTCGGCGTAACTCTTCTGGACTCGCGCAGTCTGTAGTCTGCTACGGACCTGCTGGATCAACTCTGTGGTCTTGAGCACACCTCAGTGCTCCGATGACCCTCTGACCGACCTCGCCCCAACAAATTGGGGTCCTACACTTCCTCCCCGTAAAGCATCTCGAAAGACGGGGGGGTGTCAATACTGGCATGGTAACTGTTGTTATACGAAAATTCCGCTAATGGAAGATACGTATCCCAACTGCCACCAAAATCTAGACACATGCCCGAAGCATGTCCTCGAGAGTCTGAATCGTCCTCTCGCTCTGCCCGTCCGTCTGAGGGTGGAAAGCGGTGTTGTGAGTGAAGACGAGTCCCCATCTCGTCATGAAACCGCTTCCAAAACTGGAAGTGAACCAGACGTCTCGATCTGATACTACTGATACAGGCATCCATGCCGTGCCACTACCTCCGCACACATAATATCGGCTAACTTTTCGGCCGATGTGCTCTCCTGAATCGGTATTATTATGAAATGCGCGCTCTTGGTCAGCCGATCCACTATGACCCAAATCGAATCAACTCCCGTGCGGGTCCTGGGAAGCTTAGTGATGAAATCCATAGTGATATCCTCCCATTTCCACACAGGAATGTCTAACTGGCTGCATCTTGCCGTGGGGCCTCTGATGTTCCGCCTTGACCTTCCTGCAGGTCAGGCATCTCTCCACATACCAAGCTACGCCTCGCTTCATGCAGGGCCACCAATAATCGGGTCGAAGATCTCTGTACATCTTCGTCGCCCCTGGGTGGATGGAGAACCGAGACTTGTGGGCCTCATCCATCAGTACCTGCCGTACTCCTCCCCAGTACGGTACCCAAACCTCCCATGAAGGGTCAACAATCCTCGACTGTCATAGTCAAAGGAAGCTACTCGGCCAACAATCCTCTCACACTTCTGCCTCTCCTCCTTCAGGCCCTCAACCTGTGCTCTCTAATCTGCTCCAACAATGGAGAAGAATCACTGTCATCCTCAGACAATATCCTTGATCGGGGCAGCTACCGCCTTGCGGCTCAGGGCGTCGGCCACTACGTTAGCCTTGCCCGGATGATAAAGGATCTCACAGTCGTAATCCTTTACCACGTCTAACCATCGGCGCTGCCTCATGTTCAGATTCGGCTGATCCATGAGGTACCTCAAAAACTTTGTGATCCGTGTAATGATACAGCGGACCCCATAGAGGTAATGTCTCAAATCTTGAGGGCGAACACCACTGCCCCCAGCTCTAAATCGTGCGTCGGATAGTTAGCCTCGTGAGGCTTCAACTGTCTAGAGGCATAAGCTATCACATGCCCTCGCTGCATCAACACTGCTCCCATACCTGTGATCGAAGCATCACAGTAAACTACAAATCCTCTACTCCCTCTGGCAGGGTGAGAATCGGCGCCTCGCACAATCTCTGTCTGAGGGTCTCAAATGCTGCCTGCTGCTCAGGCCCCCAGCAAAACACCACCGACTTCTTGGTCAGTCGGGTGAGCGGAACTGCTATCTTGGAGAAATCCTGGATGAATCTCCTGTAGTACCCTGCCAGTCCT